CAATTCTGTGTCCCTCAGTAACAATTCTGTGTCTGTCCCTAAGTAACAATTCTGTGGCCCTAAGTAACGTTTCTGTGGCCCTAAGTAACGTTTCTGTGGCCCTAAGTAACGTTTCTGTGGCCCTAAGTAACGGTTTCTGTGGCCCTCAGTAACAATTCTGTGTCCCTCAGTAACAAATTCTGTGTCTGTCCCTAAGTAACAATTCTGTGGCCCTAAGTAACGTTTCTGTGGCCCTAAGTAACGTTTCTGTGGCCCTAAGTAACGTTTCTGTGCCCTAAGTAACAATTTCTGTGGCCCTAAGTAACGTTTCTGTGGCCCTAAGTAACGGTTTCTGTGTCCCTCAGTAACATTTCTGTATCCCTCAGTAACAATTCTGTAACAATTCTGTCCCTAAGTAACAATTCTGTGTCCCTAAGTAACAATTCTGTGTCTGTCCCTGAGTAACAATTCTGTGTCCCTAAGTAACGTTTCTGTGGCCCTAAGTAACGTTTCTGTGGCCCTCAGTAACAATTCTGTGTCCCTCAGTAACAATTTCTGTCCCTAAGTCTGTCCCTAAGTAACAATTCTGTGGCCCTAAGTAACGTTTCTGTGGCCCTAAGTAACGATTCTGTGGCCCTAAGTAACGTTTCTGTGTCCCCTAAGTAACAATTCTGTGACCCTAAGTAACGTTTCTGTGGCCCTAAGTAAACGTTTCTGTGGCCCTAAGTAACGGTTCTGTGTCCCTAAGTAACAATTCTGTTTCTGTCCCTCAGTAACAATTCTGTGTGTCCCTGTAACAATTCTGTGTCTGTCCCTAAGTAACAATTCTGTGTCCCTAAGTAACGTTTCTGTGGCCCTAAGTAACGGTTCTGTGGCCCTCAGTAACAATTCTGTGTCCCTCAGTAACAATTCTGTGTCTGTCCCTAAGTAACAATTCTGTGGCCCTAAGTAACGTTTCTGTGGCCCTAAGTAACGTTTCTGTGGCCCTAAGTAACAATTCTGTGGCCCTAAGTAACGTTTCTGTGTCTGCCCTAAGTAACGTTTCTGTGGCCCTAAGTAACGTTTCTGTGGCCCTAAGTAACGGTTCTGTGTCCCTCAGTAACAATTCTGTGTCCCTCAGTAACAATTCTGTGTCTGTCCCTGAGTAACAATTCTGTGTCCCTAAGTAACGTTTCTGTGGCCCTAAGTAACGGTTCTGTGGCCCCCTCAGTAACAATTCTGTGTCCCTCAGTAACAATTCTGTGTCTGTCCCTCAGTAACAATTCTGTGTCCCTCAGTAACAATTCTGTGTCTGTCCCTAAGTAACGTTTCTGTGGCCCTAAGTAACGTTTCTGTGGCCCTAAGTAACAATTCTGTGGCCCTCAGTAACAATTCTGTGTCCCTCAGTAACAATTCTGTGTCTGTCCCTAAGTAACAATTCTGTGGCCCTAAGTAACGTTTCTGTGGCCCTAAGTAACGATTCTGTGGCCCTAAGTAACGTTTCTGTGCCCTAAGTAACGTTTCTGTGGCCCTAAGTAACGTTTCTGTGGCCCTAAGTAACGGTTCTGTGTCCCTCAGTAACAATTCTGTGTCCCTCAGTAACAATTCTGTGTCTGTCCCTGAGTAACAATTCTGTGTCCCTAAGTAACGTTTCTGTGGCCCTAAGTAACGGTTCTGTGGCCCTCAGTAACAATTCTGTGTCCCTCAGTAACAATTCTGTGTCTGTCCCTAAGTAACAATTCTGTGGCCCTAAGTAACGTTTCTGTGGCCCTAAGTAACGGCTCTGTGTCCCTCAGTAACAATTCTGTGTCCCTCAGTAACAATTCTGTGTTTGTCCCTGAGTAACAATTCTGTGTCCCTAAGTAACGTTTCTGTGGCCCTAAGTAACGGTTCTGTGGCCCTAAGTAACGGTTCTGTGGCCCTCAGTAACAATTCTGTGTCCCTCAGTAACAATTCTGTGTCTGTCCCTAAGTAACAATTCTGTGACCCTAAGTATCGTTTCTGCGGCCCTAAGTAACGATTCTGTGGCCCTAAGTAACGGTTCTGTGGCCCTCAGTAACAATTCTGTGTCCCTCAGTAACAATTCTGTGTCTGTCCCTAAGTAACAATTCTGTGGCCCTAAGTAACGTTTCTGTGGCCCTAAGTAACGTTTCTGTGGCCCTAAGTAACGATTCTGTGGCCCTAAGTAACGTTTCTGTGGCCCTAAGTAACGTTTCTGTGGCCCTAAGTAACGATTCTGTGGCCCTAAGTAACGTTTTTGTGGCCCTAAGTAACGTTTCTGTGGCCCTAAGTAACGATTTTGTGGCCCTAAGTAACGATTCTGTGGCCCTAAGTAATGTTTCTGTGGCCCTAAGTAACGTTTCTGTGGCCCTAAGTAACGTTTCTCTGTCCCTAACTAACGTTTCTGTGTCCCTAAGTAACGTTTCTGTGTCCCTAACTCTGTCCCTAATACAGAGCGGTCTACCTCTGTTCAATGACTGGAGGCAAATGGAGAATTCTAAAATGTCCGCCATTTATAGCTCGACCATTACACAGTGCTGGCTGGCTGGCTGCTGATTGGCTAATGCGATCACATGTCATGAATGAATGCATTATGGGTCAGCGCGCCTTGTCTGCGCGCCTTCCCAGACATCCCCGCTCCGTCGCCGCACATGTCGCCGCCATTTTAGGAAAAATTTCAATTCGCGCATCCGAAGTCTGATAATTTTCGGATTCGTCGCGAATCGAAATTTTCCTAATATTCGAAACGAATTCCACTTCGCCTAGTTCGATTCGCTCATCTCTACTTGTCACCTCAGATATCTGCTTGCACATAGTTGTGAATATCACATACTGTTGCCCAAATTTGTGACAGTTATACTAGCACCACTGATGGAATATATCTCCATTACAGTTATCACTCAAGCTGACTGCAGGAAATACAGTCACAGATCAAGACACAGCAGTGCAAACGAAATTATCAAGTCCATGTCCCTCTCTGCATATCAGGATTCCTACTATTGTTCATCGTTTGCCTTTGACATTTAGAGGGAATTGTTTTTGTAGACCTTTATGTCAGTTGATGCTATTTACTACTTCAAGCTCATTTCAATATTAGAGCTCTTAAAGGGAACCTTGCACTAATTCTTTACCATCAATCAGGGAAGTGTTAAATCTTCTTCTTTTCCTTCACTATCCTGGATGTGACCACTCTAAGGAACAACCATCACCCTTTGATGCAACTTCACATCCACTGGGCCCCAAAAAGCACACAGAAGACATTATAGAGCTGTTAAAGGGGACACTACCAACTATAATTTAAAATTCTCTTCATATCAAATTTAATACTTGTTATCTGGTTCTGAGGATCCACAGTGAGCTTATTTGTTATTGATAGTCATTCCTGCTCACTGGGGATTCAACAGTTCCCTCAGACTGGAGGAAGTGGATTATTTCTGCAAGTCTGTTAACATATACTGTTGTTTTATTGTGAATGTCGTTGCTTTTGCTCACAGTTGCCAAGAGGGACCACATTTGCTGCAAAAGCCCGTGTTATTTTGTTATTTTTGACTCAGGTACCTCCGTATCCAATACAAACTTCATTTTTTGGTTTATGCTACTCTGTGTAAGTCCATTTTACAGGGGTAATTTATTTGGGTCACCAGAGCACAGTGGTGTCAGCAAAGGTTGGGCTTTCAAAGAGAGGTCCGGATTGACAAGGATCCCAAAAATTACTAAGCAACCCTTAAGAGGGTAGTGCTACATTCGCTACAAAGCCTTGAGTCTAATTTCAGGGTGACCCTAAGGTACTGAAAAATAACTAACTTACTTCTGTTAACAAAACAGCAAAAAAATTTGGGATTTTAAAGACACCACACAAAAACTAGACAACATTCTCAAAAAAATCATGTTTTACTAACTCTGTTAACGTACTGTTTAAAGAATTGGTCCTCTGCTTCCCATTAAGGATTGGTACCTTTGGGGAACGGGTACCCATATTTAACAGTTACCCGCTCCCACTTCCACTGCGATCGCCTAGGTGATTGGAAGCGGACGTTGTCCTCCCCTCCTCCCTCCCCGTAGTCTTCTGGGACACTTGACAGGTCCCAGAAGACTACGGGACCATTCAGAAAGCGCAGCACTACTCAGGCATGCGCAGAGGGCACCCGGCTGTGAAGCTGCAAGCTGTCAGAGCCGGGTTCCCACACCAAAGATGTCGGTGCTGGGAATAAAGGGAGGCTGGTGAAACAGGCTGCGGGGAGGACACCACGGTATCGTGGGACAGGTGAGTGGCTGTTTTTTAAAAGTCAGCAGCTACAGTTTTTTGTAGCTGGTGACTTTTATTTTTTTTTTATTTTAACTGGAACACTGCTTTAAAGTCAAGGTAAGTAAAAACACAGGTAAGAAGAAAGAGTCTGCTACAACTATATGAAGCTGGCCCTAGTGCTATATGGACTTTATTCCTACATTGGACTTGATGTCATTACATTTTTCTGTTTTAGTAGTGTGCTCCTTATATACAGGAGCTGGGGGTTTGCTTATTGCGCTGATTTTCCTCTGTACAGAGTTTCTTGTTTTTTCAAGTAAGAACAGAGGACCTGACATAATCAGCAGCTCCTGCAGGGGTGTGACTACAGAAGTCATTTCGGATTCAAGATTTTCACGTTTGACTAGAGTGTCCCTCAAAAATTTCCTAAAACCTAAGCCAGTCTACAAAGCAATTAGAAGGCTTGGCAGTCATCCAGGTACAAAATAATATTAATTTACATATTATCCAGTGGAAGCGTCACCTGATAGAAGAAACCAAACAAGTTCATTATATTTAATCCTATTAGTACTGTAAAATGAGTCAGCTTTTTATCAGTCAAAATCCCATATCAGCAATAGGATGGGAGATTTCAGTGGACAAAGAACTCCGCTCATATTTCAGAAATGCAAACAAATAGTTTGAGTAATCCATTGAGTGTGCCAATTTCAGCCCTCCCGGGTTTTTTTCTTTATATATAGGCCTGTAACAGATCATAATATTATTACCTCCATTGCAGGAGCGGCATTGTGCCGATATGGAGATCTTTAGTACCACCACACTGTTATTAATTGTCTGTTTGATCTTCCTGATCTTAAGTATCACACATGCCAGGAAGCACCAGAACAAAGGTAGACTGCCACCGGGGCCCACCCCACTGCCCATTATTGGAAACATTCTCCAACTAAATGGAAAAGAGGTCTTCAAGTCGCTCAATAAGGTAAGTTTACTCAAGACTGATTAAAGGTTTCAGTTACAAGTTGGAAGCTATAAAGCATTAGTTTAACCCCTTCACGCCTAAGGGTAAAACAAATCTTAAAGCCTAAGTAAAATTTTACAACTTTGACATGTGTTAGTAAAACCGTACATATCTTCACAACTACTTCGTGTATCCAGATGTATTATGCCTTGTTTTTTGCAGGACAAAGTGGGTTTTCATTTGATGGTAAATGGTAATGGATATCACCTGATTTTCTTTTTATTATCAAAGGAAAACTGGTCCAAAATTGGAAAAAAAAAAAAATAATTTTTCTAAATTTAGCTGTGTGTTTCTTGTTACTACCATAACCTACCACCAAAGAACAACCCAAAATACATTTTCCAGCTCTTGATGATCGCAGCGATATTTCATATATATGTATGTTATTTGTTACCTGTACTACAGCTCAGAAACAATAGTGCGCATTTTGTTTTTAGTTTTTTTACCTAAAACACACTGCCACTGATACCAATTTTAAAAAAAAATGAAAAATCCTTACCTTTGACCTTGACCCAAACACTAACCCTGGCACTGAACTAGATCAGACCTTGGTTTGAACTGGCACTGAACTAGATCTAGGTATTTTTTTTTTTATTTTTAAAATTTTTAGTTTTTTGTCTCTCTCTCTGCAAGTAGAGAGAGAGATGCAATGTATCTCTCTCCTCCATTTAAAGAGAAAAAAAAACAAGGGGGGCGGGCTTCACAGTGACTGATCACTTGGGGCAGCACAGTGGCTAAATGGTTAGCACTTCCGCCTGGCAGTACTAGGGTCCTTGGTTCGAATCCCAGCCACGGCTCCACCTGCCTGGAGTTTGCATGTTCTCCCTGTGCCTGCGTGGGTTTCCTCTCGGTACTCTGGTTTCCTCCCACACTCCAAAAACATGCTGGTAGGTTAATTGTCTAAATTGGCCCTAATATGTATATGAATGTAAGTTAGGGACCTTAGATTGTTCACCCCTTGAGGGTTAGGGACTGATGTGAATGTTCAATATATATGTGTAAAGCGCTGCATAAATTGACGGCGCTATATAAGTACCTGTAATAAGTAATAAATAAATAAATCACTGTGATAGCATATCAGAGGCTATCACAGTGATCATGCGATCCAGAATTGGGAGTCCCAGGCCCTGATCATTAGAATGGGACACAGAGCTCTCAGTGACACCCTGGTCTTTGTGCTGGGAGTGTGCTGTGTGGCACACTCCCAGCACAAAGACAGGTACGCAAATATGCGACCCCATGGAAAAAAAGGCCAGCTCTGTGAGCCCGCATATTTGTGTGACGTCGGCATCAAGGGGTTAAATAAAACAAGTTGTCACTCTGCAGTCTATTAAGTCACAATATAACATGTTGCAGTGACCACATTTTGGCTTTTAATTCATGTATATACTTACCTATTTTCAGCCCACTCTGGTCCGATCATGTGATCTAGCTCCCCTGTGTCAGCCTGTGATGGCTGCAGGGGAGAGGAGGGACCACCAACAATGGCTGCATCATATGAGCCTATGAGTGGTATCACCACTTCCATCTTTCACAGTCATTGTTCAGCACTGTCTTCATTCCCCTGACTGACACAGGGGAGTCAGATCACATGACTGGACTGGAGTGGGCTGAAAATAGGTAAGTATATAGAGTACATCTATTTTCACAGGTTAGTTAGTATAGGTTTTAGGAGGGGGAGGGAGCATTTTTAAAACTAATTAGGTTTGAGCTGGAAGTCCACTTTAAGGGGAGCAAAGGATATTTCCTAAATATGTTCCATGATTTTGAATGGTTTTTTTTTTCAGAACACAACCCTCTCCTAGGCCTTGGCCCAGCCTGCACATATTTTCCCTGCATTTCCTCTAATAAGTTCATTTCCTATGATTGTCAGCTTTATCCAATGACCAAAATACTGTAATTTTCCTGATTGAGATGTTTCAGTAAAAATAATTGCATTTTGGCCACTGGATCATCCTGACAATCATGGAAATTATCGTATTAGAGGAAATACAGGAAAATATGTGCAGGCTGGGCAAATGCTTGAGACATTCATCTAACTAATATTTTACAACTTTTTTAACTATGATGGCCTTCTGTAGCTAATTATGAACAGTCAAACTTTCTGCTGAAAATCAGGTTCGGTTCAGAAAATGTAAAACAAAAATGTGGGCTAAAAAAAGTGGTCTAAATACAAGAGGCAAGCGTATTCTTACTTTAAAGTGTTACTAAACCCTGCAATCACTGTTTTTGGTCTCCCACAGTACACACAACATGGAAATGCAATTATTTTAGTAAATATAAACTGCTGAATACCTTTTCTCATCAGCAGTATATAGCAGTCTTTTGACTTCTATCAGTATGCAGCTGAGCACTGGTTAAAGCTCGTAGAAGCAGTTTTAGTTATGCTCTAACTGTCCTATGGGGCTGCATGACCCCTGACCTTCTGTCTGGACAGTACTGATTGGCCTCCCAAAGAAAAAAAAAAACTCTCCAGCAATACACACTAAACTGAGCATATGCAGAGTGACTCCTACAGCTCCGTACTATCAGCAAATGGATTGGGGACAGTAGAAGAAGGGGAGGATCAGGGAAGACAAGATCAAACAGCCTTTTTACACAATGCAGAGGATTAACTCCTTAGGTTTTACACCGAGTAAAACAAGCATACTTTACTGCATATACAGTCTTATTTTACAGTTGCAGGTTTAGTAACATTTTAATCTTGGTGTGCTTTGAGAATTTCTTCCACTTTTGAGCAGTAAATCACATTAAAAAACTCAGCACTTTGCTCCTGTATAGGAGCTTCATATAATAAAGACCTGTCAGTGCAGGTCCCTCTCCTTGTGCAGGCTGACTGGTCTCGACTCCTTCCGCCCCTCTCCTGTAGTTTTCAGCCAGCCGCCTGTAGTGGGAGGTCCTGTTGGGCCCCTTCCGTAGATCTACTCTTGGCACAGACTATGTGCAGCACAGTGATGATGTAACTGCTATTTCTTCAAGGTGTTATATGGGGTTGCAAAGGGATTTGGTGCACAAGAAATGGGTGTATTTCCTTTATGGCTGGAGGAATATATTTTATTGATCATTTTTGTGCCCAAAGTTAGCTTAAAGTTTAAATAAAGCCTTTTTTTCATTTTGGATGGTGTAGGGAAGGGTTAATACCTATGTAGGTTTCTGCTGTTTGTTTCTCTGCTGAGGAGATCCACTCCCTCTGTGTATTCTGGGGATCAAGGGCTAGGAATAGGAATAAAGGGAAATTTTCCAGTGGGGGCAATTTTTTTTTGATGTGTACTTAACTGATTTATTTTAGAGAGATCTCCTCTGACTTTTGCTGTGTCTCTAAATAGAAAGTGAAAGAAAATCTCTTATATGGAACACAGACATCAACAAAAAAAAAAGAAAACACTCATCAGGGATTTTACCAGAGGGATTTCTCCTCACTTAAAACCTCATAGGACAGTTGATATCATTATGGTTTTTAATATTATTTTTGCTACTATAAATATGTTTTACCCATAGCTCCGGTCTATTGCAATGTACAAATTATTCAAATAGCACTCTTTCTACTTGTTTGTGATTAAGGCTGGCCATACATTATACAATTATCTTCCAATTTTCTGCCCAATTTCCTTTAGATTTACCTTCAACTGTGTAGTGCAAGGGCCTGCCTAATTGGATACAACTGAAAGTGTTGTTTAGGTTTGTCCTCCTATTGTAAGTTTTTTGGTAAATCTAAACCAAAAATCTCCAGATAATTGTATAATGTATGGCCAGCCTTACAGTGCATTTAGAAAGTATTCAGACTACCTTCACTTTTTTCAATTTTTTGTTATCTTGTAGTCTGATACTACGGTTGTTTAAATTCATTTTTTTTTTCTCATTAATCTAGACTTAGTACCCCATAATGACAAAGTGAAACAGAATTTTAGAAATGTTTGCAAATTAATGAAAAAGGAAAAACTGAAATATCACATTGGCATAATTATTCAGACCCTTTCCAACAGGGACTTTCAAGCACCACAGTTAAACAATTGTTACATTGTGGCCTTAGAAAGTCCCTGTTTCCAAAATGTGTGCTCTCTAACATTCTGAAAATTGGGATAAAAGCACCATCATTTTTTTTCATTATGCTTGACCCGTAACAAATATACTCATTTGCAACAACACCTGAAATTTAGATCAGGTGTCTACCATTTCTCTTGATCGTTGCTGAGATGTTTATACACCTTGATGGGAGTCCACCTGGGGTAAATTAAATTGATTGGATGTGATTTGGAAAAGGCAGGCTTCACAGCTGACAATGCATACTGTATCAGGAAAAAAGAAAAAAAAAGCCATAAGGTCAATGAAACTGCCTGCAGAGCTCAGAGACAAGATTATTGCAAGACACAGATCTGGGGAAGGCTACAATAAAATGTCTGCTGCACTGAAGGTTCTCCTAGAGCACAGAGGCCTCCATAATTTAATCAAATGGAAGTTTGGCACAACCATGACTCTTTCAAGAGCTGGTCGCCCAGCCAAAATGAGCAATCTGGGGAGAAGGACCTTAGTAGGAGAGGTGATCAAGAACCTGTTGGTCACTTTGACTGAGCTCCAGAGATCTTGTGTGGAGATGGGACAAAGTTCCAGAAGGACAGCCATCACTGCAGCCCTCCACCGATCTGGATTTTATGGCAGAATAGCTAGTTGGAAGCCTCTACTTAGTACAAAACTGTAAAAACCCACCGAGAGTCCTTTGGGTGCTTTTTTTTGCAAACTCCAAGAGGGCTTTTTTATATGTTTTACACTGAGGAGAGGCATCCGTCTAGCCACTCTGCCATAAAGCCCAGATCGGTGTCTTCAATAGACACAAAGTATATAGCCCCCCTCTGTGTGTACCAAATGCCTCTACAAAGTAGCAGTCACATCATCACTGTGCTGTCTATAGCCTGTGCAGAGAGCAGAACTATAGGAGGGGGGCAGCTAGATCCACCCACTGCAGGCTGCCTGCAGAAAAGTACAGAATGGGGGCGGAGACAAGACCAGTCACCCTGCACAAGGAGAGAGAACAGAAGTGACGGTCTTTATCACAGGAAGCTCTTGACAGAGGCAACATTTCCCACTGGATTACTGCACAGATCTGGAGGAAATACAAAAGAAAAACACACCAAGATTACACACCGAGACTACATATGACTCTTGCATTTTTATTATTATTATACAGGATTTATATAGCGCCAACAGTTTGCTCATGGGGCGCTTTACTATGAAAAAATATAATGGGAGACTGACCCCCGGGCCCTACAGCAACATGGTCAGTCATACAGTTCAATACAAGAGGGTTAGGAGGGCCCTGATCCTGGGAGCTTACAATCTAGGATTTAGACATCATTTGCTTATTCTGGAGTTCCACTTGAAGGGAGAAGCCTTATTGCACACCTTAAAGTCAAACACGTACTTTAGTTCTGCTGGCAAAGGATCAGTTCTGTGTGAGGCAAAGGCTTTGATTGGTTTCCTCTGCCTCAGCAACCAGTTTCTTCCTTCCTTATGTAGAACACAGCATTGGCTGAGGCTAATATATTGAAGGGAAAATGGGGCAGAAACTCTGGAGGAACCTAGAAAAGGTAAATATTGAGGGAGGGGGTTGGGCGTAGGAAGTCAATGCTGTAAGCACAACCAGTGGACCCAAAGTCAATTTTTTGCTTTAAACTTCAGTAGCAAAACACTGATCACATTTCTATGCAAAGGAAAATTCTTCGAAATGTTGGACTGGCATTGGAAAAATGGAACAGCTGTCAAATAGTGCCGCAGTTTGTGATTTGCCAGGGTATTAAAAGCCACCAGTGTGGCTCTGATGGGAGATCTTATATGGAATGTGTTGCACTGTAAGCACCTTTTTGATATTTTAGTATACTGATTTCATAACATTTCAAGACAGAAATTAGGCACTTACGATCTTGTTTGTCCTGCAGCTGAGTGAGAAGTATGGCCCGGTATATACCATTCATATGGGCATGGAAACAGTTGTCGTGCTCTGCAGCTGTGATGCAGTCAAGGAGGCCCTCATTGATAACGCAGATGATTTCGGTGCTCGAGGACACATGCCTCTACTGGAAAGGATAAGCTCAGGAGGACATGGTAAGAACTAACTTAATTATGTAGCTGTCATTTTTGACAGTGCCTTCTTCAGACAGGAACTGCCTAACACCAGGGATTCCATTTCAGTTTACTACTTGTAACTAATAAAGTTAGGAACCCTTGCTCAATCTCCTACATAATTATTATTAATATTATTATACAGTATTTATACAGCGCCAAAGGGTATGCTCAGCGCTGTACAGTAGCAAGGGGGACAGAACATGAACAATACACGAATGGTTCGAGGGCCCTGCTCTTTCGAGCTTACAATCTAGGACCAAGTAACCACTTTCGGTACTCTCCGAGGAAGTCACGTGGGTGTGATGCAAGCATCAGAGTGGAGCTAGTGACGTCATCACGTTCAGACCTAGAAGTAAGAGAGTTTTGTCCAAAGCATGGCTGCTGAGCCAGGTTCTTAAAGGGGAAGTAAGTGCACATGATTTTACCTGTAGTGCACCATACATTGCAAGTGTATATTTTTAATTTTTTTTTTTAATAAAAATAATATTTTAGCATAAAGCACTATGATTCCTTTCATTTTTTTTATGAGCACCTTCTTGTAGGGAATAAAAATATACAGGAAAAATCAGTTACCTTTGGAATAAACATTAAAATCCAAAAAAAATAGGAGAGGAGAGTTAAAATGGTGATCCGTAATTTCAGCAGAAGATTGTAGAGACTAACCTGGTATCTATCTGCCTCTTAAAGGGGAAGGTGCATTTTAACTTATATCATTTAACTTATCTATAGGTCAAATGATAAGATGAGAGCTTAATGTAGCTGAGGGTGGATCACACAGGGAATCACGTTTATGACATTGAAGTGATTGTGAAGCACAAAAGACCAGCATAACAATGTGGGTGAAATGGGACTATTATTAGTGCACAATTACAGTATTTTATCCATATGCATATGGTGGTGCTGTATATGGAGGTTATACACATTGTATAAAATTTCAAGCACGCAGATTGATTTTTATATGATTGCTAATAATATTCATTTAAAAGACCAAGTGGTCCCTTGAGATTTCCCCTTTTATTATTTATATTTTTTTTTTATTTGTATCTATTAATAGATGGACCAGCTGGGTTAAAGTCATAGTATTTCTGGAGTTAGGCTTTAATGCATCTCTCAAACATGTAATTTGAAGGTCTGTGTATTTTTAATGTTATCCTTTTTTTCTTTTTTTGCATTTGTACATGTCCCCATGGCCCAGTTACCTATGACCTTTTTTTTTTTTTTCCACCAATATATGTTATTGTATTTTTCAACGTACACGAAGAATAAGCACAAAGTTGTTCAGTTTAAGAGGTGGAATAATTAACAAAAAATAATAAATTCCTCATCAAGTGTGTAACATATCATGTGAGTTTAGGGTGAGAAAGGAGGAATGTATAATGTAGAAGAAAGGCACCTAAAGATCTGCAGTGCTGAGTCCTGTGATACTCGTGTAGATAAAGTTTGGTTCTTTTATCATCCAGGCCTAGGGCAGATGGGTCTTCTTCAAACAACCTAGAATTTAGCTTTAAGCAGCTGTGGCTACATTGACTCTCATTAGCCCCTTGCCAATGTATTCTACTTACCTTGGTTCTGTTTGGTTTGGCATACCTACCCAACCAAAAAAATAGTAATGTAGCCATAGTCAGACAGACATGTTATAAGAACTTGCTGAAAAGCTCCTGGTTAAAGCAGTATGTGGTTCCCTAATTCTGTAGTAAAGATGGTTCCCAGTCAAAAGGAAATATGTAGGACGTTGTATCTCATTTGTTCCATACAACATTTTCAGGAGTGGTCGCCAGTAATGGGGAACGATGGAAACAGCTACGACGATTTTCTCTGATGACCCTCAGAAATTTTGGAATGGGTAAAAAAAGTATTGAAGAGAGAATCCAGGAAGAGGCCTACTTCCTTATAGAAGAATTTAGGAAAACCAGCTGTAAGTAAAACACATGGGGGTCCAGTTATAAAGCGGTTGTATGACCCCAAAACACTAAACATTATTAAAACAGTTTTTTTTTAAATACAAAAGTGTGGTTAGCGCTTTCTTGCTTCATTACATCAAAGCAAGTGTAGCCCTATTCATGTACATAAAAGAGAGGAGTTTGGTTAGATAGAGAGTCTGGTCATGTGACCAGCTTGGGTTAGCATTGTCACCCTAACACGGAAAGTATGTTACTGTCACTACTTCCGGTAGAAAAAAAATAGACAAATGAAATGAATGCAACCACCACATCTAAGGACTGATAAGCTGCAACATACACTGTATTACATATCTGTTTTGGGGTTTATAAACACTTTAAATCTCAAACATTTGCAATAAAATTGAAATATCAGCTTTGGTGGGAGTATCCCTCTAATGTTGTATATAGTAAATTAATTGTAATGATTTTTTTTTTTTAAATCTGTACTATCTCTCTCTTACAGGTAAGTCTCTGGATCCAACTTTCTATTTCTCCAAGGCAGTTTCAAACGTCATCTGCTCAGTGGTGTTTGGAAGTCGGTTTGAGTATGAGGACAAAACTTTTCTCAAGCTTTTGGGTTTTTTACATGAAATTTTTAAAGGTTTTAGCTCTGTCTGGGGACAGGTAAGTAGAGAGCTTTAGACCAAAAAGTAAATGTTTGTGTTAATCCAATTATATACAGTATATGTTGGGAGATATGGCACATATGGAAAAGTGCTCCTGTTTTTAAATGAATATTGCATACACCTACGTGAAAAGCGCCAAATTGTTACATAAATATATTGGTAATTTGGCACACAGAAATTGAGATTTAGAAGAAATAGAGATCATAGAGATTTAGAAGAAATATAGCAATTAAGGGGTTTGAGTGCAAAGTAATAATATTTAAATAATTCTTGGACCCCAAAGTGGTTTTGTGAGAAAAAAAGTGGCACAAAATTTTTTTCGTCATTTGTGGACAAAAATATATAGTTGATACTAATGGGCTGTCTTACTAAAGGCACTGTGCACATTGGAAGAGCATAGTAAATGAGGTGAAGCATCACTATACATAGAATACCCAATCACATGCAAGGGAAATTTAAAAAAACCCACAATTTATGCTTGGATGATGGAAGTTAGCAGAGCATCTCCTCATTTATTAAGCTCTGGAGCAATTGCACTTGCAACTTGTACAGTCTATTTGCCTTTAGTAAATCCATCCCAATGCAACATTTTTTGGAATTGGTATGCTAGGCTTACTATGTAATATCTCTCAGATAGGCTTATTGGTTTATTCATTTGGTGCACATATTTCCATTCTTGTTTCTGTGTATTAATTCCGATGGATGCATGAATGTTCATTAACCCCATTGTTTATGTATCTTGGTCTTATTCTGAAAATATCTTTTAGATGTACAACGTGTTTCCCAAAGTGGTTGGAAAGATTCCGGGACCTCACCAAAAAATGTTTAAAGCTATTGATGGCATTCAGAAATTTATTGAAGAAAGGGTGAAAATGCATAAAGAAACCCTGGATCCAAGTTCTCCTCGAGACTTCATTGATTGCTTCCTCTTAAAGATGGAGCAGGTAAGGCAATTTATTCTGCTGGGGTTTACTTGGAAATTTTATTTTATGCTTGCAGAAAGATGGCAGATTGACAGTTGGAGTCTCCGAAAAATGATCATTTGATATCCGGTACCTGTTCTTTGAAAACTTAAAGTCACCATTAAATTAGGAAATGGACAATCTAAAATGTTGTTCCTAAACTCTATTTTTACATAGGGAATGTTAATATACTGTATGTGTAAAATATATATAACCAACAGCAAAACTAAAAAGTTTATCTTGCAACTAAGAGATAAGATATGATTAAAATGTGTATCTGAAGCCAAAGCTTTTTATTCAAGTAAAAAGAACCCCGTGCTATTAAAGGCATAGGATATAAAATCAATATATAGAAATTGAAAGCAGCTCCCACCGAACCCTGCAATCACTACACTGATAAATAAATAAAATAAAAGATAAAACAGGTGAAGTGCTTCTCACAAATATTATAACCCTAAAGTGTCACTGCTAAATAAATCAATATATATTGTAAGTGAAAAATCCAAATATAAGAGAATATATATATATATATATATACACCCACTCATTCACCTGCCACTTTATTAGGTACACCTGTTCAATTGCTTGGTAACACAAATTGCTAATCAGCCAATCACATGGCAACAACTCAATGCATGTACATATCTAGATGTGGTGAAGATGACTTGTTAAAGTTCAAAATGAGCATTAGAATGGGGGAAAAATGGGATTTAAGTGACTATGAAAGTGGCATGGTTGTTGGTGCCAGACGGGCTGGTCTGAGGATTTAAAAAACTGCTGATCTACTGGGATTTTCACGCGCAGCCATCTCTATGGTTTACAGAGAATGGTCCAAAAAAGAGAAAATATGCAGGGAGTGGCTGTTGTGAGGACAAAAATGCCTTGTTGATGTCAGAGGTCAGAGGAGAATGGGCAGACTGGTTGTTGCGACATTCAGATGGTTGGGTCAGAATTTGGCGTAAACAACATAAAAGCATGGATCCATCCTGCCTTGTATCAATGGTTCAGGCTGGTGGTGGTGTAATGGTGTGGGGGATATTTTCTTGGCACTAGCAAGGTGTACCTAATACAGAGGCCGGTGAGTGTATATTATAGATATATGAACACATTAAAACAAATAGAAATCATATAAAAAGCTTAAGGATGTTTTTATCTATCTATATTCCTTTTACAAAGTTCAATGGCTACATCTGTGTATTGTTTATAGGCTGTGTAGTAGCAAAGAGCTGATTGTCTGCCTGTTTTCCTGACATCCCATGAGTCATCAGGAGGGAGGAGGGATTTTCTCAGCTAAGCACACCCTCTTCACTGCATGCTTCAGCTAAGGTCAGATGGATTCCGAGATGTAAATTCTACAGAATCATCTACCATTATTCAAAATGGTCATGGCTAGAAATGCTAGCGGGGTGTTTTTCAGGGGGATCTCTCGGCAAACTAAAACATGGAGACATGGATGGATGGGGGAGATTGCTTTGAACATTAAAAATGAATTAAATAGCATGTTGGGTTTGGCTGCCCTGTCTGAATGGTCCCGTAGTCTTCTGCAACCTGTCAAATGTCCCAGAAGACTACAGGGAGGGGAGAGGGGAGAACAACTTCCGATCACCTAGGTCATCGCAGTGGAAGTGAGAGTGGGTACCTCTCAGTTTTGGGTACCCACCCCCCAAAGGTGCTAATCCTTAACGGGGAGTGGGGGGGACCAGTTCTTAAAGCAGAATGTCCCCTTTGAAGAGATTAAAGCGGAGCTCCACCCAAAGATTGGGTGGGTACCAACTGCCAGGGGAACGATGAGCAAGGTAAGTATTCCTGCTTATCTGGAGCATAAGAGATTGGGGAAGGGTACCAACTGTCAGGGAAACGATTAGCAAGGTAAGTATTCCTGCTTATCTGGAGCATAAGAGATTGGGGAAGGGTACCAACTGTCAGGGAAACGATTAGCAAGGTAAGTATTCCTGCTTATCTGGAGCATAAGAGATCGGGGAAGGGTATCAAATGTCAGGGGAACGATGAGCAAGGTAAGTATTCTTGCTTATCTGGAGCATGAGAGATCGGGGAAGGGTACCAACTGTCAGGGGAACGATGAGCAAGGTAAGTATTCCTGCTTATCTGGAGCATGAGAGATCGGGGAAGGGTACCAACTGTCAGGGGAACGATGAGCAAGGTAAGTATTCCTGCTTATCTGGAGCATGAGAGATCGGGGAAGGGTACCAACTGTCAGGGGAACGATGAGCAAGGTAAGTATTCCTGCTTATCTGGAGCATGAGAGATCGGGGAAGGGTACCAACTGTCAGGGGAACGATGAGCAAGGTAAGTATTCCTGCTTATCTGGAGCATGAGAGATCGGGGAAGGGTACCAACTGTCAGGGGAACGATCAGCAAGGTAAGTATTCCTGCTTATCCTTCCACCCCTACAAGTATTTAAGCCTTGTAGAGTGGATAGGACCCACTGCAAGGATTTATTTTCGTCTTCTCTGGTGTCCACTTAATAAAAATAATTTTTGTTTAACCCCTTCATTTCAAAAAAATCTTTTCCAAGCTTTGTAAAAGGTGATGTTTATCTTATTATAAATTACACAAAATTCCCTGCATAAAATATTACTTTTTTTTAATCTAACAAAAGTGGAGTTCCAGCAGTTTTAGTGTTCATTAAAATTCATCAGCTGCAGAAACTGTAGCTGCTGACTTTTAATAAACACACACTTACCTGTCCCGGAGTCCAGCGATGTTCTCACCCGCACCGGCCCTTCTCGGCTTCTCTCCACCACGGCGCCGGCATCTCAACTGTGGGCACCAGGCTGTGACAGCTTGCGGCTTCACAGCCTGGTGCCCACTGCGCATGTACGAGTCGTGCTGTGCCTCCTAAATGGTCCGGCAGTCTCCTGGGAACTGTGAATGTTCCCAGGAGACTGCCGGAGGGAGGAGGGGACCGAACGTCCGGCTCAATTCACCGCGGCAAAAGGTGCCAAATATGGCAGTGGAGAGGCGGGAGGAGGCAAACAAGCAGAGCTTCCACTTTTGAGTGGAACTCCGCTTTAAGGGCTAATTCAAACTAGATGCAGTCCAGTGCTTTTTTTCTGCATCAAAAATGCATGCATAGTGTTTTCCATGTATTCCAATGGCACTGGTTCAGACCAGTGCAGTCAGTTCCAGTCAGTTTCCAGTGCAGAAAAAAAAAGTATAATGTGCTGCATTTTTTCTTCACAGAACCATACTGGAACATGGCAAACTGCATCAAAACTGCACCGGAGCTGTGTGTGGTGTGAACTGTAAGCAAAAATGTATCCGGCAGGGGCGGACTGACCATTTGTAAACTCGGGCACTGCCCGAGGGCCCGGGGCCAGTAGGGGGCCCCATGAGATGCCCCTGGTACCTTTTTCATAGGCTTTTTTGAGTTTGGGCAAAGACACAGGGGCCCCATGATCCCCTATTGCCCGGGGGCCCCATCAGTTGTCAGTCTGCCCCTGGTATCCGGATAGCATCTGGAGTGCATTTTTGTAGTGTGAACTGGCCCTAAAACTAATACTGGTCGGACTGGAAAGCAAAAACATATTTTTGACTTTTTCTGACTTTGACTTTGTTCTTAGAATGCATAGAATGGAATGGTGCAGGGCACCATTGCAAAACAAAGCCATGTTTTTCCTGTTATAATACTATGGGGAGTATTTACAAAGCAGTGAATGTGCCATTCATCAAGGTGAATTTAGGTGAATTGTTCCCTGTAAGTTAAACCATATGCACCTGGGAGATTCATTTAGAGTGAATGTCTGGTGAATGGCACATTCACTATTTTTTAAATATACCCATATGCTGTATGTGTTAATTTGGCATCTTTAATAATAGCACATTTTATGCTGAACAAAAAGGAACAAAGCTGCAATAATACCATTTCTGTGGGGTATACCGGGGCGAGAGTTAAAGTGATCAATAAAGACAAGTGAATACAGGATTTTGCCCAGCTCTTAACTTTGTTGCCATTTTTTCAACTACTATTCCTTATTAATTCTTTAGGAAAAAGATGTGCCACAAACTGAATTTCACAAGAAAGGCATTGTGAATACCACATTCGATTTGTTTGGTGCTGGTACAGAAACTGTCAGTACAACGTTGCGTTACGGACTGTTGATTCTGCTCAAACATGCAGATGTTGAAGGTTTGTCGTGTTTCTAAATTAAAATATTAATTTAAATTAGAAATAAAATTATATGACTAACAAAAAAATAGCACTTTTGTCAAGTAAATATGATTTTTATTTTTAACCAAGCAGTACATTGAGTAACATTGAGTATAGACGATAACACTAAGGGGTACATAATGATGTAGTATGGCAGTTCCTAAGGTCCCAAAGTTACAAAAAAAAGCTAAAGTAGACTGTACGGTGCGTTAAGACTTCAGTTTCTTGAAGTGGTGTCAGGGCTCCGGGAATGACCAGAGGTGTGTGGACCGACACAGGGAAACACAGACTTCAGGTATAGCGTGTAAACAAGATAATTTATTAAGGACAACACAAACATAAACGCAGTGCAACAACCAAACCCAAAACTAACACAAATACATACAACAAGGTGAAACAAACCCAAACCTAAACTGATATATATATATATATATATGTATATATATGGAGCACAGCGTAGTCAGGCGGGCTGGGTCGGTAGCTAACGGGCAAAAACAGGGTACCAGGAGCGAGCGGAAGAGTGGTCAGGAATAGCCGAGGTCAGGACAGGCGGAGATCGTTCAGAGTCAGGTTCAGAGTCAGGATCAAAGCAGGATCAGGCAGGAAGCAGACAGGATGCAGGTACAGGGGTGCATGGGAAACATACACCAAGGCACTGATCACAGGCCTGGTCCTGCTTAAATACACCTGCAATCAGCCTCAGGTGATGGCCTGACTGGAGGAGTGAGATTCTGGCTGCTGAGAGCACCCGCTGGTCAGCCTTGGTACTGCAGCCCACAAGGCAGGTGAGTCCCACCACCATTGGCGAGTCCATTCTTGACAAGTGGTACCATTATGAGATGGAGATAAAACTTGAGTATCTGTTTCGTTCTTACCAGGACCTTCAGAAGGGATCAACCCAAGTTAGAGGGTTGATGTTCATTCTGTCTGAGAGTCTGTTAAGGAAGATCAGGATTCTGCCAAGAAAGAAGGGGAATGAAAAGGAAAGAGATTTGGGGATTTGAAGAATGTGGAAGTAGAAAGAGTGCTGAATGGAAAATCAGTGGCAATAAAGGGTATGTGTTTGGTATGTGTGGAAAAAAGGTAGTGGAGAGTGAGAAGAGTGGGAAGGAGGAGGTGGGTGGAATATGGAATCTCAGAGAACGTAAGGGTAGCAAAATGTAAGGAGCACAAATTGAAGCTAATGAAGGGATGGGTAAGGAGGAGGGAAGGGTGTAGGTACTCCAAGCTGAAGAAAGGGCCCAAAACTTCAGCAGGAACCACCCTGTACACCCAAGCAAGCATTTAGCAAATGCTCATGTCCAGATTTTGAGTTGTGATCAGCCTCATGTGTCAAATAAGAAATATTTTACAACATATATTAATGTTTGGTATTCTGGTTTTGAGCCAGTGGGTAGAGCTTTGGATTTTTTTGTTGCTGTATTTTTAAGGTAAAACCCCATGATTACAGAACTTGAAGGCTATGTTCACCTTTTGTGAAAAAACATTTGCAGTTATTATTATTTTTATTAATGTTCGGGTAGACAGTTACTGAATGGCAAAAAGAATCACTGAACTACGAGAGCCTACAAAAGTTCTAATTATTTGCTGCTCTATCCAAACCTAGAATTAAATGTATTTGGCTTGACATACATTTTGGAGCACATATATGAGCAATAAGAGAAACCCTTAATGATGAACTCCAAACAGCTAAGTGCCCAGATAAATACTTATATGGTAGCTGTCTTACCTGCTAAAGGATTTATATTTATGTTCACCCGGTCTTGAGATTTACAACGCTCTGCTGCACAGCCAGGTTGGTGACTTCAGTTTTCTCTTCAGCTATGCACAGCTAGGTCACTTTCCTGCCTCCACCCTGGGATTGGTCAGTTAAGGAGCAGCAACAAACTGATGAACTCATCTCTTATTATCTTCTACTGTCACCATGTTCTTTGTCAGCATATATGAATGCAGCACACCTCAATGGTACCTCCAATTCCAATTAGTTAGCCAATCCATTGGTGATCCATCACTCTGGAAATGCTCTCACCTCCTTGATTTTCCAGCTGCTATTGGGTTCCTCCCCATGAGCACATCCCCATGCTGCAAACTTGTTTCAAGGGAAGTAAATTAGCTGGACATCAATTAAATCACGAATGCTAAAATTGTATAATTCAATAAGACAGGTTCACAGCGTGACCTCCCACCGGTCATCCACCTGCTCCAATGCGTTTCACCCAAAGTGCTAAATCATTGAGACATTGGTGTGTGGCCTGTTTATTTCCCTTGACACAGGTTTAGATAGTCAGTTCAGGCATTTATACTAGCTGTATTAAAAAAAACAAAGCTTTTACTTTTCTAATAATAGGGAACTACATTCATTTAATCTAGCAACATTTAGTTCTCATGTTATAAAACATTATCACAATAGCATAATTAGAGGGAACACACCACATAGATGTAGCACTACCCTCTTGAGAGCCGCAGGTTTTGGATCCCCTTTTACTTCCTGCACAGCCAGGCAACACACACTTTCCAGACACAATAAAAGTCCATGGGATTGGCTTTTAAGTTTTATTAGGGAATTTAACTTGGATAGGGTAAAGGGGTTATGGGATGCCCAACTTAATTGCAGAATAACAATTGAGGACAATGCTCTTCTCTAGATTACTACAAAAACGGAAATAATTTGACAGGAATTCTAGACAGAACAATGCGAGTCTTCAGCACAGTGGTAGCTTGCAGGAGCTCAGAGTACCTTTGAGAATATTTTTTTTAGCAAAGTCCCAACTCGTAGGAGCTCTTAGTCCTAAAAGTGAACAAAATGCCAGCCCACCTGGCTTTGGTATATGATCCAAGGACAAGGGGCTGGGTAAGTTATAAACCTCCCCCTGAAGACTTGCCAAGAACTTACATCCAGCAGACTTCTCCCTTATAGGCCCTGGCAGGGACGGACTGACAACTCATGGGGCCCTGGGCAATAAGAGATCATGGGGCCCCTATGTCCTTGCTCACACTCAATCCACTCCCAAAAAAGCCTATAAAAGGTACCAGGGGCATCTCATGGGGCCCCCTACTGACCCCGGGCCCTCCGGCAGTGCCCAAGGGCTCGAATGGTCAGTCCGCCCCTGGGCCCTGGGGATGTAGAGGTACTCACACTGTTTTTGTCTTGCAGCTGTGGATAGAACTGCTTGGAGCTTCCTCCTTCAGCTCTCATCTTTCCTCCTTCAGCTTCCAGTCTCCAACCTCCAGCCTGGAGGCCAACCCCCTCCTTCTCTGGGGCCCCCTCCTAGGCTACACTGAATAACTTCTAAGCACTCCATCTTCCACCCGACTCCCTTGCTGGCCAGGGTCTGTAAAATTTATGGGCTGGTCTACCACATCACCAGGCCTCCTGCCTGGAATTGGTCAGATTCCCAAAAATATGCAGATCAGCCCCTCCTCACCTCCACCTTCTGACTTCTAAAAGCATCCCTAAGCTTCTAGAGCAGGGGGAGGTACCAGAGGACTGACCTGTAGAGCCCTCCAGCATAACCTGAAGCAGGGGCAGACTGACAACTCCTGGCAATAGGGGATCATGGGGCCCCTGTGTCCTTGCCCACACTCAAACCACACCCAAAAAAGCCTATGAAAGGTACCAGGGGCATCTCATGGGGTCCCCTACTGACCCCGGGCCCTCGGGCAGTGCCTGAGTTCCCAAATGGTCAGTCTGCCCCTGACCTGAAGTAACCCTCTGTCTAAACCCAGGCTTCTAGCAAAGTTCTAGATACTCTCAACAACTATGTACACTAGATGGCAGTACATAGATCAACCACATCTACTGGTATGCTAACAGAGGATTCAGCTACAGCACTCACATCTCAGCCGTACTGATACATTTCACCCTGATTGAGCTTAGTTGAAGAGGTAAGATCAAGGAATGTGGCTAAGATGTGGGGACTGTAGCCAAAGCCTTTGTTAGCTTACCAGTGGATTGTTGATCTATGTGGTGTGCGCCCCATAATTTTCCTATTGTGATTGTTTTATGGAGTGAGATATGATTCTGAGCAGCTCTATTTTTGACATGTAGTTACTGTAAAAACATTAGATAATTAGATATAACTGGCTGCCAAGCTAGCCATTCATTATTGTGTAATTATAAACTTTTCAACTTTTTAGACTTTTTTATTTTTAAACTTTTAAAAATAATTTCAGAAGCTTCAGTGACCAAATCGAATAATCAATATTAACAATATTTTAGCTTTAAATTACTGCCATTGTTTTTCATATTTACAGAACGCATCCACAAAGAGATAGACCAAGTCATTGGTCGGAACCGGGCTCCTTGTATTGAAGATCGATCTCGTATGCCATATATGGATGCTGTGATCCATGAGATTCAGAGATTCATTGATCTCATCCCAATGGGAATCCCACACAAAGCGACTCGTGACGTGCACTTCCGAGATTTCATCATTCCAAAGGTGAAACGACAAAGCGCCATCCTAGTTTCTTTGGCTAGTTTAACTAGACAGTACAAAAAGCAAGGATAATATGCGAAGTTCAGTAATTCATAGCAACCAATCAGATTTCACTTTACTGAAGATAGATCAATAAAAAGGTGATTGTACGTGGTCTTTATTGGTTACTGCATTTTGCTTTTTATCCTTAATAAGTAAACAAACCCATATTTACTAACTGTGCTCACGTTGGGATTTAACTAGGATGGGTCTTAGGGCCAAGATCAAGTTTGTCTAGCTGTTGTGAAATGCAAATAAATGCAAACTGGTGACAATACAGTCATTAACTAACTATATTTACATTTCTAAATGCCTAAATGAATTATTAATACAAAGACTTAGAGCATGCCGCTTTATATTCTGTCCTAATCGGGTTATACTAGTATGATCTCTTTGTAAATAAACACCACTGATTTATTAGGTTTTCCACTTAGTATATGGACACACATTTTCTTGGCATAAAACATTATGATCCCAATAATAATCAAATGAGACATGTGTACTGGCTTAGGTTAAAACTCAAACTGAACAAAGCAAGAACAAACCAGTATTTATCTTATTGATATCCAGTATGAAGTATGCAGGTGTCTGATCTCATTGATCGATATCAATTCTGTACTATGAATATGGGTGTGATTATATACTGTAGTTCTCAAACTTTAGAACAGACACTACGGCAATGACTGACCTTACTAAATGTGCACTCACAGGACACTTTATTAGGAACACCTGTTCAATTGCATGGTACCACAAATTGCTAATCATCCAATCACATGGCAGCAACTGAATGCATTTAAGCATCTAGATGTGGTGAAGACGACTTGCTGAAGTCCAAACCGAGCCTCAGAATAGGGAAGAAAGGGGATTTAAGTGACTTTGAATGTGGCATGGTTCTTGGTGCCAAATGGGCTGGTCTGAGGATTTCAAAAACTGGTGATCTAATGGGATTTTACACAACTATCTCTAGGGTTTACAGAGAATGGTCCGAAAAAGATAAAATATCTAGTGAGCGGCAGTTGGGTGGACGAAAATGTCTTGTTGATGTCAGAAGAGAATGGGCAAACTGGTTGCTGCGATATTCAGATGGTAGGGTCAGAATTTGACCTAAACAACATGAAAGCATGGATCCATCCTGCCTTGTATCAATGGTTCAGGCTGGTGGTGGTGGTGTAATGGTGTGGTTGATATTTTCTTGGCACTAGCAAGGTGTACCTAATAGAGTGGCCGTTGAATGTATATTATAATGATTCTTCTTTTCTAGGACACCACTGTATATACCATGCTCAGCTCTGTTCTCCAAGACCCCAAGCAGTTTAAATACCCTAATGAATTTAATCCTGGACATTTCTTGGATGAAAGTGGGAAGTTCCGTCGGAACGATGGGTACATGCCCTTTTCTTCAGGTATGCATCACTATATAGGATCAACATACCTACCTGTGTGCCATCTACAGTACTACACACATACTATTACCTGTATCGTTGCACCTTGCAGAAAATGTTATGGCACCCAGGATGGATAGATGTTCAGAAAATTCAGGAATTAGTACAATGATGGAAACAAAAAGCAATTTTAAACAACCAGGCAACAGACATCATAGAGAAAGGAGAAAGATGAGCTGTACTGAACTGTAATCTTTCAGGCACATTGGCTTCTAGATTTGTTTGGCCTTGATGACACTTTTGCAGTGGTGTTCGTTTGTTGTGTGTCACAATTGTAGGACTGGATCTCTAGTTTGAGCACCCAAATCTTTCATATTACAAGAAAGAGTCAGAGCAAGCTCTTACAGATACAAATTCACTGAATAGCTCCCCAAAAAGAAAAGCTGAGACAAAGCTGAAGATAGACTAACTAAACAGCCCAGAAAGGGAACACACACCAGACTGGAAATCACTTGACACGTGTCATCATATACTGCCAAAGGAGCAACATTTTTTTAAAAAGTATCATCATCTGCTAGTGGATGGTCAGTTTCAAGGTGAAGTATCAACAAGCTACTGCAAATATGAATCTTGGAAGCTTCAGTTAGAAGGGTGCATTTTTGTCTCATAGGTCACTAGTTCACTGACCCCACTTACAACTAAATAGGTACAACATTACTGTACTGCCCGTTATTCAGATAATAGAAATTTACCTTAGCTAGCTTTTCAGAAGGATATTGCATTTGTGACCTGCTCCCTTTGATCCTTGAAAGATTTAAAACTTCTATGTCAACATGTGGAATTTTTTAAAAAAGAGCAAGTGCATTGCAAAAATAAGATGTTAATTAATTTCTTAAAGGTGCTTTCTGGCAGCCCTTTAGGTGGGCTTTAATGCCTGGGGGGGGGGGGTAGTGACTTTTACATCATGTAACCACTGTGAATGGTTCTCACACCAGTCAAAAGATTGGGAGCCTGTCTTGATGGCTCCTGACCAGAAGCCTTCACAGAGAGCATGTATGTGTTACGCCACTGGCAAGGGTAGAGTAAAGTAACAGTGTACCCATAAAAGGTGTTTTGTTGAATGTCACTGGGCAGAACTGTGGTTAAATCTCCCTGCCTACATTTTTTTTCTTCTGTCCCCTTAATCCATTTACTTTCTCTATATTTATTATAATGTATGCTAAGAAGAAATTCAGCAATGATGGTAAGGCCAGCACCACTATTAAATAAATACAAAACAATAAAAAGAGCGCTTATTAATTACAAATCATTCAACCATATATAAAATGTATACAAAGCCCACACACAGTCCATGTGTTTAATAGAGTCCACTGTGTTTAAAGTGATTGCAGTTACTCCACAAAATAAAATAGGTGCAAAAAGAATATATGTGACTCCTCCATTAATATAAGTGCACTCTTATGTATTCAACGTGCATCAACAATGATAGAGGCCTCTTGCCAAATATGTTGGACCATAAAGTTAGAAATGGTCAAGATCGCTTTTGAGGAATGCACCTTCCACAACTCTCCTTATAGGGTCTGCAGGCCAAGGCACTTCCATTCACCATGATCAGTATTAAAAGAGAAGAATGTACGCCTCCATAATGTAGCATGTAAAAAAGGTCATTCAAGGAGTGTAGGGTGTCCTGGCCCATTTTTCACATCTGGTCTTTAAAAGGATGGTTAGTGTCCTCAAGTTGTTGCTAAAATTACTGGAGTGTCTCACGGTTACCATAAACCTGTCCAAGTTCTAAAGGGACCTTAAACAGTGAGTTCCTGTGGGATTGAGAGCTACATTTATGATAAAGAGATCTTGTATTTCTCTTACGTCAAAAAATACTTTCACTATTTTCTAGCATTTGTTTTTATGTGGTGAATGCTGAGAACAGGGCTAGATGCCAGGATGATTTAACACCAGCTTGCATGCACAGAAGGTACATCATGCCTGGGTTCTCAATGGCCAAATAAGAACAGGATCAGATGGCAGGAACAGCAAGTGGGGACCTGAAGGAGGGCAAGTCTGCCATATTGTACAAAAATGCTAAGAATAGTTTCTGAACACTAAACTGGGGGTAGGCAACCTTGGTATTCCAGCTGTAGTGAAAATGCAAATCCAACGAGGCAATGCAAGACTGAGAAAGCTACAGGCATGATGGGATTTGTAGTTTCACAAAAGCTGGAGTGCCAGGGTATCCGACCCCTGCTCTAAACTGACAATATCTACCTCATTTTAAAATATCAATTTTAGAAGGACTAATTTGGTCTCTTTCACAATCTGAGAAGAATTGAAAGGATGTCACTTTTGCTGTATTTAAAACTGGACCTTTCTGGAGCTATATTAGATCTATGGGCGGTCAGATGTGAAAACAAACGTTTACTTTTGCATCTGTTTACATCATATTACCTCCCATCCACCATGTTTAGATCCAGCAAAAAAAAAAACAGAAAAGGATTCAGACCTTTTCCATTTTTTTGGACAAGTTCTCAGAGGTAATCAGATGTAAATGGATGCAAATGTGGCTGCCTATAGATTTACAGTACATGGAGCTTCCAATCAGGTCCACCTGAAAATTTGATGGACAGGCCTGATCAGACTGCCCATTGGAAAGGGTCCTAAATGAAGTAACTAATCTGCTTCTATCCATGCGGTGAACTTGTGTTTTCCAATTGCTTGCTTCAGATTAACTGTACTTTGCATGTTAGTGTTTCATTACACTTGATGTGGAAAGTGTAATGAAACACTTGATGTCTAAAAGTCGTCACTAACTGTCTCTTAGTCATTTATAATTCTCTTTCACTTCACAGGGAAGAGGATCTGTGTGGGTGAAGGTCTTGCAAAAATGGAGCTCTTCCTGTTTTTCACCACAATTTTACAGAACTTCACCTTGAGATCCCCGGTAGACCCCGAAGACCTAGACCTTACACCACAAATGAGTGGATTTGGAAACATGCCATGTACCTATGAACTATGCTTCATCCCACGCTAATCAATTGGACTAGGGAACTTTATATTGAACTTGTTATTTTGGGAGTTCAATCAGAAAATGCTCCCTAATACTGTGAAAACAACATAAGGTTATATACTGTATATACATGAACTGTATCTTCCACCGACAGCTTGCGTAGAGCATTCTGTATTGTAGAAATGTTTTAAACTGTAAATATAAATCTTATTTTTAGAGCTGAATTCCAGGCAGATTTAAAGTGGTAGTAAACTTGATCATTAAAGAAAAAAAAAAAAAATTCCCCTGCACGGTAATGTCATAATGTGCTTGTATGCATCGCATACTAGCACATCATGTGAAACTTACCTTAAAACGAAGTCCAATGGTGCGCTGTCACCTCTGACAGGTCTTCCATCTTCACTTGGTCCTTCTTCCTGGCTCATGGGCTCCAGCAGCTCTAATGGCCAAGCCGCAATGACGTCATTACTGCACTTGCGCGTCGGAGTCACTGTTTACGGCACACAGCTCTGAAAGAACGGCGTAGCCGTTCGCATGCACATGCGTCGGTGCTCTACACAAGTAAATATCTCCTAAACGGTGCACATTTAGGAGATATTTACAGTACCTAAAGGTAAATCTTATTAAAGGCTTACCTGTACCCATATGGAAGAAAAATATATTTTAAAAATATTCTTCCCAAATATATTGACATATTTGAAATACTACAATTTTGGCCATATTCAATATATTTCGAAATTTATTTCAATAAATATATATCTTTCCCCTGTCCTGCCCTGACCTGGCCACTGCTGTCTATAACAGTTTGCTTACATCTGCATTAGACTCGCTTGCTCCTCTAACAACACGAAGCATTAGGCCCTGACCATTACAACCTTGGCAGACTGACCACACCAGAAATCATAGTCGTGCGCTGGAGCGATTGTGGTGTAAAACCAAATCCCAGCAAGCATTCACCTGATATAAATCTGCTCTCCTAACATACAATTCCTCCCTTCACACTGCCAAACAAGCCTACTTTGTCACTCTTATTAATACCTTGTCATCCAGTCCTCGTCGTCTCTTCTCTACTTTTACCTCTCTACTTTCTCCACCTCTACCTCCACCCAGTACCTCACTCACTGCTCACGAGATTGCAAATCACTTCAAAAAACAAGATTAACGCAATTCGTAGGGGCATCGCCACTGCACAGACATCCATACCACTTAGCATGCCTTATACTAAACCTCCCTCAACATTTTCCTCTTTTGACCTCGCTACTACCGAAGAGGTCACTAAGGTTTTCTCAGAAGCCCATCTCACTACCTGCCCCCTGGATCCTGTCCCCTCACAACTACTACGGTCACCCTCTTCTTCCATCCTATGCTCCGTCACTCACATCTTCAATCTTTCCCTCTCTACTGGTGCCTTCCCCTCCCCTCTAATGCATGTGCACATCACTCCCATACTTAAAAAGCCCTCCCTGGACCCCACCAACCTGAGCAACTTAAAACCCATCTCCCTGCTGCCATTTACCTCTAAACTCCTAGAACGTTTAGTCTACAATCGCCTGTGCTCCCACCTCACCAATGACAACCTTCTTGACCCTTTAAAGTCTGGCTTTCGCTCTCTACACTCCACTGAAACTGCCCTACTAAAACTCACTAATCAACTACTAACTGCTAAAACCAAAGGCCACTACTCCGTACTCTTACTACTTGACCTCTCTGCGGCTTTTGATACGGTTGACCATCCCCTCCTCCTCAAAAAAAACTCCACTCTCTTGGCCTCAGAGACTCTGCTCTCTCCTGGTTCTCCTCCTACCTATAGCAGCGCTCCTTCAGCGTTACCCATAACGCTGCCTCCTCCTCTTCACTCCCTCTTTCTGTAGGGGTCCCTCAAGGTTCTGTCCTTGGACCCCTTCTCTTCTCCATCTACACCTCCTCCCTTCCTCCTTGGTCACTTGATAAACTCCCACGGCTTTAAGTGCCATCTCTATGCTGATGACACACAAATCTATCTTTCTACCCCTCACCTCACCCCTTCAGTCTCCACTCGCATTACTAACCTACTAAGTGACATATCGGCATGGATGTCACTCCACTTCCTCAAACTCAATCTTTCCAAAACTGAGCTCTTAGTATTCCCTCCAGCCCATGCCCCCTCCACTGACTTCTCCATCAAGATCAATACCACAATCATAAGTCCCTCCCCTCAGACCAGGGTACTAGGTATAATCCTTGAGTCCCATCTGTCCCTTCAGCCCCAAATCCAATCACTGTCCAAATCTTGTAGACTTCACCTCCGCAACATCTCCAAGATACGCCCATTCCTAACCTCGGAAACCACTAAGCAACTTATTCACTCCCTTGTTATATCTCGCCTTGACTATTGTAACTCCCCCCTCATTGGCCAACCTCATCCCAGGCTATCCCCTCTTCAGTCTATCATGAGTGCTGCTGCCAGACTTATCCACCTTACTAACCGTTCTGTATCTGCCACCCCTCTCTGCCAGTCCCTCCACTGGCTTCCCGTTGCCCAACGGATAAAATTCAAAACATCAACAATAACGTATAAAGCCATTTATAACTCTGCCCCAAATTACATCACCGATCTTGTCTCTAAATATCACCCAAACTGTACTCTCCGCTACTCGCAAGACCTCCTACTATCTAGCTCCCTTGTCTCCTCCTCCCATGCTCGTCTCCAGGATTTCTCCACAGCTTCCCCCATCCTCTGGAACTCTCTATCCCAATTTATCAGACTATCGCCTACTCTGCTCACTTTTAGGCGATCTCTGAAAACCTATCTCTTCAGGGAAGCCTATCCTGCCCTCAGCTAATACTGAAATCTTCTATTCTTCCAACCAGACCATCCCCCACAGTTACTACCTTTTGTACAACTAGCACCTCCCTCCTAGATTGTAAGCTCCAAGGAGCAGGGCCCTCAAATCCCTCTTGTATTGAACTGTATTGTTGCTGTATTGTCTCCCATTATATTGTAAAGCGCTGAGCAAACTGTTGGCGCTATATAAATCCTGTATAATATATATATATATATATATATATATATATATATATATATATATATATACACACACACAGTATATATACATATACAGTTGTAAATATAGCAGTGTGTTGAAAAAAAGTGAATAAAGCTCAAAATCATTCTAATAGCTTTTATTTCCATACACACAAATGCATTGGGAACACTACACATTCTATTCCAAATCAAAACATATCAAATTTGTGTTGTTCCTCTAAAAAAAAAAAAATGAAGAAAAGTGAATATTAGACTGTTCAAAAAAATAGCAGTGTTTGTATTCTTCTTTACAAACTCAAACATTCACTATATAAACTGAAAAATGTTTGAAGATTTTGCTTTCCTTTGAATCACTTAATGAATATTTTGTTGTATAAGCACTGTTTCTGAGAACTGCTGTACATCTGTGTTGCATGGAGTCAACCAACTTCTGGCCCCTGTGAACAGGTATTCCAGCCCAGGATGATTGGACTACATTCCACAGTTCTTCTCTATTTCTTGGTTTTGCCTCAGAAACTGCATTTTTGATGTCACCCCACAAGTTTTCTATTGGATTAAGATCCGGGGATTGGGCTGGCCACTCCATAACGTCAATCTTGTTGGTCTGGAACCAAGATGTTGCACGTTTACTGGTGTTTGGGGTCGTTGTCTTGTTGGAACACCCATTTCAAGGGCATTTCCTCTTCATAAGGCAGCATGATCTCTTCAAGTATTCTGATGTATTCAAACTGATCCATGATCCCTGGTATGCGATAAATAGGTCCAACACCGTAGTATGAGAAACATCCCCATATCATGATGCTTGCGCAACCATGCTTCACTGTCTTCACACTGTACTGTGGCTTGAATTCAGTGTTTGGGGGTCATCTGACAAACTGTCTCCGGCCACTAGACCCAAAAAGAACAATCTTACTTTCATCAGTCCACAAAATGTTGCGCCATTTCTCTTTTTTAAATATATTTCAAATATATTTTTCTTCCATGTGGGTAGGTACAAGTACACAAATAGACTTTACTACCACTTTAAACTGTAATAAAATAATATCTGTAGAATCTGATGTTGGTAACTCTTGTACAGTGGAAGATTGAGACTCTGTGCCATGCACATGTGATGACAAGTGACATGCCGATAGGAGTATGAAGAGCCCATCAGTATGCAGTTGCTTTTTCATTGTCCAAGGATGGGAGCAGTGAGGTGTCCAAGCTGTATTATCCACTAGCAGTAGATAAATGTGAAATCAACAATCAGACTATTCTGAATAGCAGGGTTTGTACATCTCTGTACTAGCTGGATAAAATTAAAAATGGTTTAGCAAGTAAAGCAGAGTCCATATATGTATTTAAGACGTGTATTTAGTTTATTGATTGAAGGTCAGCTTCAGTTTTTTTCTATTACAAATAACTTGGATAATATTGAGTAATAAAATGTATAGACATATAAGGAGGTTTGTGTCATTGCTTTTTTCTTCCTTTAATAAACTATTATATTTTATATAGACTCTCATTGAGTTTCAGTGTTTAACAATGTTTGTTAAGGTCGTAGAAAAAACTTTATGAAGTTTTTTGGTATAAATTAAAAAAATAAATCTTTGGTAGTTCTGACTCCAAAATGTGGTACCAAGGAGAATTTCACTCTATCTCTTCACCTGAGTACTAAACAGTGGGGAGAAGAAGGAAAAGGAAAAGAGCATATTGGGCCAGCAGTGGGGGAAGCAACAGCAGGTGGCAAGAAATTTTAACCAGGCATAGAAGTATCACAAATGTATCTCCACCTCTACTCCATCTATTGTTGTGGGGGTCTATTGTTGCTGGTGGGATATCTACTGTTGCTAGGAGGGTCTTTTGTTGATGTGGGGGTCCATTGCTCCTCGGAGGGATTTACTGTTGTGGGAGGGGTCTCTTATTTCTGACTGCTGGAGGTGATGCTTGCTGCTGGGAGATCTATTGTTTCTGGCAGGGGTCTATTGTTGGAGTGGATCTATGGTTGCTGGGGAGTAAT